ATATATATATATATATATATATGCATATATATACACACCCCGTCAGCCTCAGCAGATGGCTGCTCACACTGAGCCTGGTGAGAGACGAGAAAAAAAGAGAAAGCATAACATTAGAGACTGAACTAACAAAGATTGTGTAAAGGGAAAATAGAGAAAGAATGAAGCAGAATGTTTAAAAGGGGTCCCTATGTCCTCCAGCAATCTAAGCCTATAGCAGCATAACTATAGAGATAGCTCAGGATAACCTTACAGTCTTCTGGGAGTTTGTTCCAGATCAGGAGAGAATAGAAACTAAATGCTGCTTCTAGAAAAGGTTGATACACTAAAAACAAATCTGTCATGTATTGAAATGCTGAACCATTCACCGATTTCTAGTCTAACAGAAGGATTACAAAGTGTATTCTCTGAGCTACAGAGAGCCAGTGGAAGAACATCAGAACTGGGCTGATGTGATCTACTTTCTTAGTTCTGGTGAAATCAGGGAAGCAGTGTTTAGCAGTGGATCAGCTAAATATGGTAGAAAAAAGTAGGTATTTAGACATGTAGGTCTAAATATGGTCATGGTAATGATGAATGAGTATAGTTATCTCCTACGTTCCTTAATTTTCCTTAATTTTTGTCCGTGTTGGCTATGTGTTTAAAACATGCAAGTCTTTTTTTGTTTAGTATAACTAGAATATGGATGTTTTTTAGTATTTTCTATGGTTATACCAAAATGTTCAGTTGGTAGGAGACCCTATTCTAAGATGAGGAAAAAATCTGTAAGCATGTTTCATTGACATACATTTCCCTCTGTGTTAAAGATCCAATCTCGGGAGTTGCTAAAGTCAAATTAAAGAGGAGCAATCCGGGAGAGTCCACCGAGTGTCAACATGATCGACTTGAGTTTTTTGACACAGGAAGAGTCTGAGAAGATTATGGCTGTGCTGAAAAGAGATGCTGAGCTGAAAAAGGCTGAGGAGAAACGAATACAGTGAGTTTTAATAGTCTTTTTGTTTACTTCAGTTTTTTAATAAACCTGACAAAACTCATAGGTACATGATCATGATAATAAGCTTAAAGGCACACCATGTAACTTTTGAGCACTAGGGGCACTAGACCTATAACTGCCCATATTTTGCTTCTACCAAACATCGAAAATAATAACTGATATACGTATGACTGTATACTAGGTGCAAAATGTTAACTTACCAGTCTATAATACAGTTGAGAAAATAGAATCAGTTTTATATCCGGCTCCTTTTTCAACCTGAGCCAGCAAACTCTTTTCCATGGTCGACTCTTGTTTTTCCTCTATCCCTTTTACATTTACTCTTTTTAGCCTCCTCAGAAGATTTAAACTTTTTCTTTGCTTTAGCCATGACCAGTAGTCGAGAAGGCGGAAAAGTAGTAGAACAAAAGCCTTAGCTCCATGACTACATAAGACCCTGTGGTCATACGTTTCTTCAGGTCACATGACTAATATAATATATATATATAAATATATAAATATATATATATTTTGGCTTTCCACGCCCTGTCCTCCTAAAGGTTCCACGCCCACAACCTGAAACTGTGACAACCAGAGTACGTAAAGATAGCCTAGGAGTGCAGAATAATGCATTAGATGAAGGCTGGAGCTTGACTGATGGGCAGCTTATTTCCCCTTATGACATCCATTTGTGAATCTCATACTCAGGCTTCAGGAGTATGAAGGGAATTTAGCAGAATATGGAACCTTTAAGCAATTCGAAGTATACAGTACATTTGGAGCAACCAAACAGCATTTTTTTTTTCTCATTTTTGCAGCACTAGTGGCTCATGTTTCCAACAGTTGGCTGACAGGAAAGTGGGTATGAGAGAGGGTTAGAAACATGCGGCAAAGGACCACAGGTCGGATTCTGAGCCGGGGGGAATAAGGCCTCCATACGTGGGCCATGCGCTCTTACCATAGCGCCACTAAAGCACACACACCAAATGGTATTTTTAGTCAAGCTTTTAAAAAAAAAGCCACAGGCAGCAGGTGTTGTCTTCACCATTTCTTATCAGCTTTGTGTTCCATGTCTGTCTCTTCATTTTGGCCTGACCCTCTATCTCCGCTGTCTCTCTCTTTGTTTATACTGCATTCACACATACACCAAAGCAAATGACTATAATCCAATATTATATAACATATCATAACGTAAAACTCTCTCTAGTTGTGCCTTTTGAAAAAATAGGACCAGATGTTCATGGCTGGGAATTAACTGAAAAAAATTACATATGTTTCTAAATTAAAAAGACTGGAAATAATTATAAAAGGTTTAATACCAGAATACATCAAAGTACCCCTAAAACCACCAAAATGGAATCACTTCTAACCCCCTTCCTACAACAGTGGCAGTAGCACAGTGAATTTTTTAAACCATTTTTTAAAAATGTATATGTTCAAACTAAGGAAAGAAAAAAAGAAAAAACAACGCTGAGTCAATTTTTTGAAAAGTTGTTAAGTTAGAGAGAAACCGGGGTTAAATTTGAGCAGAGATGCAAGCAAGTGAAAACCAAATGGGATAAAATTTCCACACACAACAATAAAAAAAAAATGCAATAAAAAACAGCGGCGGTGCGCTGTCACGGGGAATCCAGCAACAGCAGCCTCTGGCCCAGTCACCCAGATTTTCCCCAACTGTTTGTGACGGCTGGAAGGAGATGTTAGCGGTTTTCCAGTAAGTAATCCAAACTGCAGGCACCAGGATATTAAAAGCGAACATGTTTTGCTAGCAGATTAAGTTTAGGCATTTCATATATTGTTTTAGAGGAGTGATCATAGCACTCTGCATCAGCAGCGCTGTGTCCATCTCCCTTACATCTCCTGCACCAGCTTCTCTGATTGGTTGATATGGCGGGTCCAGCAGCAACAATTAAAAGTTTCCAATCAAATGTCAACAACAAAACCAGCTGAATATGATACAAGAAACTGACTTCAGGGGCCTAGAGAATCCCAGAGAGCAGGACATGAGATCGTGCTAGTGTGATGTGTAAACGTTCATAAGGAACTGAGCTCAGCACGGTTAAATGATCCAAGCTCAGCATGGATTGGTTTCAGAGGGTAGTGTTATGGGGCTAATGTTAAAGATATTTATTGGGTTTAGCCATCACTGCACACTTTTCATAAACCAATGCTAATCCAGTCAAGTGTGGAATAAAACTCACATTCTACTCACATTCTACCACTAAACACATTCATTCATTGTGCTGAAATCCACATCTCTGCTCCCTGCATAACACCATAACATTGATGCTAGAAGGGAACAGAGTAAGCAAGAACTATGAATAAAGTAATAAAGTGTGTGGGGCCATGGCAGCTTTCTTTTCACTTTGTGGTTGACTCTTAACAACCAGATAAACCTTAGATTGTTGACAGTCTATTTTTTTAATTATCTGGTTTTTTAAGGAAGGAGATGATGGGAGGTGTTGACCTGGTGTCCTGAGCTGTTCAGTGGTAATACGAGGTGCATTCAGCTGAGGAAGTAAATTGCTTTTGGTTTTGGCCTTTTGGGCTGGCTGTCCTAATTTCCTTATTTTATTTCATTTAGGTTAAGATTCCATTTTGATTTGTCCGATTTTGGTCATGGCTTCAGCAGCCCCATAGAGTAAGCCATCTACCATGTCTGTTTTGTTTTTCGTTTTTTACCAGCCCCAATCAGTCCATGCTTTTGGTTATGCTGGCCATTGGGCTTAGGGAGGTAAGGGAGCTTTTTATCTTCACAGAAAAAAAATGAAAAATTAACTTCAAGCAACATAAACATAAACGAAAAAAAAGAAGAAAGAAACTAAGCTTATAATTAGTGTTGTGCCAATGCCAATTTTTGGCCCAGATACAGATACCTGGCTGCGCAGTATCAGCCGATATAGATACCATACCGATACCATTTGTTTGAAATGGATGTATGTGTATACATGAAGAAGTGCATACTACTTGGATGTAAAATAACTGCCATCATGGCTTTGTCAAGCTGCTGCCTACCTTTGTGAAGCAGGAAAAAGACTAATACAAAGTGAATCCAGTAGAACTTTTTATTGTCTACCTGGAACGGGTGACAATAGTTCAATAAACTTTAGGCTCTCAAAATGGTATTGGTGCCCTATTTGTTGGTACTCACCGATACCAATACCACCATTTAAGTACTGGAAGGGGGCCCTGCCCGATACTGGTATTGGTATCAGTGCAACACTACTTATAATAATCTTATATGTTTGAACCCAATTTATCTGTTTCCTCTGTTGTGACGTTCTGGGTTAGAATAAAGAGTGAAGTAAGAAGTTTTAATTGGAAAAAGTCAAGAGTGCTCATGCACAAGCATGTGAGCAAGCATTTTATAACAGTTTTTAGCTATGTTTAATACTCCAAAATGTAAGACTAACCAATGGTTTCTACTATAACAGCAACACAATCATAAAACACCAGGGGTCTGTTTCACAAAACATGTTTATTGAAAGCTCAAAGTTTTCTAAACCTGAAATCAGAGAAACTCTGAGTTTTCCTTTTAAAGAAGAGAGTTTATTCAACCTGTTTCTGTTACCGTAGTAACGTTTTCCTCAGAGCTACCCTTGGCAGCAGCAGGGTCTCCTAAATAAACTCAGTCTTCTGTTTCCACTTTCGTTAAAGAAAATCACATTGTTTTATTTCCTGATTTTATCAGCAGAGTTCTGTCACAGATTTGTGTGAACAAAAAAAGGAAATCATTCACTAGGTCTGTTGCACACATTAAGTGTTAAAAACAAAAACATAGCATGTCCTTTTGACAAGGATCAATTGAACAACGAATGGCAATAATCCACAGAGATAACTTCTCGTCCATTTGCTTAAATGAAAAAAATTGAAAAACTTTCAGGCTTCACAGAGAATAACATTTTTATAGGGAGAGAATTCTCAGATCGCCTTTCTGTATTCAGGTATCTTTATGAATGCTACTGTTTCACCTCACAATCCATAACATACATCCACAACCTCATCTGTCCTCGCATTAAAAGCATTGACTTCTTTAACAGGGATTTATAAGTAATTAATATTAGTGAAAACAGATTGTTATGTGATAACAGCATTATAAAAAATTAATGCACAGTCCGACAGCCACATATTTACTTTGTAATGGAGGGAGAAATAAAAAGAGGAGGAACCCTATTAAATGATGCACAGGTCCTTCCTATTAAAACTGCATATTTATATTTCATCTTCACCTACTAACGGATGCGCTCCTCTCCCGTGAGTTTTAATCTTAGATATAATTTCATCTTAAATATAATTCATTGATTCACTACCATTAAACCAGTAAACTAGTTATACCCATAATTTTATTGTGATTAGAACAGGCTATGGTAGGCTATGACTTCGTGTCTAAAAGAAACATTCTGGATATCTAGAAATGAAGTTCAGATCTCCACACTCCTATAGTTACAGGTGGTCATAATATGTATTGTTTTGTTTATGAAGAAAATGTATTTGAGAACTCATATATAAATATACAGTCAAGCTGATAAATGTCAACACGGACACTTAAAATGCGTAAACATTTCTAGGTATATAAAATAAGATTTGTACCAGTGCAATTTTGCATTTTTTCCTCTCTGAAATTCAGTTTCTGCTGCAAAAATGTAATTTAGAAAATCTATTATCTCAGTTTCATCTTGGAATGTGATTTTGATCAGGAAGAATCTTATTTTAGTGATCTCCAAATGAAACAACAGAGAGGAGAGCACTGTTAATAAATGTTATATTGGCCTGAACTTCATATAAATCTATGCATAAACTCGAGCATCAATTTTCTCCTTCACCATCTTCCTCTCCTTTGTAGCTGTAGTGCTGTTGCTGTCTTTTAAACACATTCTACTTTTTTTTTTATTTCTTCATTAAAATCTCTTGTTCCAGTGGTTTGAAATAGGCACTTCCTGTTGCCTGTTGTCATGGTGACTTTTCAAACCGGTGCTCCACCGATAATGGCTCTTCTTTAATTGTATGGCATGAATTCAACTCTCAGGGGACCTATTCAGAGTCGATTAACCTCAAAGCAGCTTTTATGAAACCAAAACCTTAGTGCCCCACTTTAGGATTTAGAGTTGAGGATTTAAATCTGAGTTTGAGCTTTGTGAAAAGGACCCCGGGTTAACAAAAAAAGTTTGTTTAATTGCAATCACTAACATGATTAAACAGAGGAATACAGCTTCTATACTAAATTTCTTTAAAGTTTTCAGAAAATCTCATTTTTTTCCAGAACGTGCTAGTTACAGATTGGATGAATGGAGGGATATTTATGAATGGATTAAGTTGAACGTGTCTGTACTCAGGAACCTACAGAGGACTGTTGCTGATAAAAGCCAGCTGAAATGTCTGACTGGAGAATGGTTCTATGAGTCTAAGCAGCTTCGACATCAGGAGTGCATCCATGGCTCCGATATCATTAGGGCTTCCATTAGACGCAAGTCTATACCACTGACCAAAGGTGAGTCTTTACCAGCTCTAATTCCTTGGACTATTCAATTCAATGGTAGTCGTGTTTCCATCACAAATGTGCGCAAAACTGTTGGAATTCTGTTCAATTTTTGCAATACAAAATTAATATTACTTAAGTAATACAATTATATATGCAAGGGAATACTTCTGTTCATAATTATGTATTATATGTATATCTGGATTGCAGCTAAAGCTCTAACACTCATTAAAGCACACTAAATGTGAAAAATAGTCTCCTTATCAATCTAAATATGCCACACCATCATCCATAAACAACTTCAACTCTTCTACTCTGTCTTCTGAAACCGGGCATACACTGTATAATACTTTCAACTTTTCTACTGAGCTACAGCTCAGTAGAAAAGCACGGCCCAATGCTCTGATGCACTGAAAAAAATAATGCATCCACTTTTGGCATTTCCTTAAGCATATTTAGTTACTTTAACACAATCGTTATAAGTTCTAACCTGCAAAAATGAAAAAAAAAATTGTTAAAGTAACTAAATATGACTAAGTAAATGCTAAAAACTGTCGCATTAATTTTTACATGTTCGATTGAACTGTAAATGTTGCTTGTCCAAAAGCCACACGCTGGACTTGTCAATCTGGAAGAAGAACAACTCCCTTGTTTACACAGTCTTGCAGTCTCCAAGGGTCTGGTAAATGGGCTCTTAGATGCTCATAGAACGGGTTCAACAGCAGGATTTGCCCACAAACACCTCATGAGGGCCGACTGCATTTCAAACATTTTTCTCCCAACATTATGATTTCTGATCTGGAGGTGGTTGTGAAAGGCTAATTGCCCCTCGTTACCACCTGTATACTACAGGACGCACAAAAAGGCTGAAGCTCAGCCCGATCTGAAAAATTCTCACACGATTGAAGAATCCGCCTGAAAGGGGGAAAAAATTGTACAGTGTAGGCTCGGCTCTACAAGATCCTAAGGTCCAGTTTCAGATCATGTGACCCATGTGATGCGAAAAAAGACCTTTTTCTAAATTCCGCTGTTGCAATGTAAAATGAGCCACTATGTAGAACCATCTTCAAACAAACGTTATCATCTCGAGCTGCATTTATGACAAACAAGCATTACATTTTTATTTTATTCAGTGCATTCATACAGACAGATTTAAAGAAAATTATACACCTTCAAATTTAATTCTACATATAAAACAATGCTGTAAAGCTCAATTTATAATTAAAAAAAATGTATGCTCAATGAAAATTAATCAACTACATCAACACACTAACTATTCCTTTTAGTCTATTTTTTCAATGAAACATTTCAAAGTACAATAGAAAAAAAAGCATACAGGGTTAGGGTTGTCAAAAAATCCCAACAACTGCTGGGATGTAAACACTGAGTGACTTTCCTCATAGTAGTGATGATTGTAAAGTTAAACCCAGCTAAACAGATGATGGGAAGAAGGATCTGTGATAAAGCTCCTCAGTGCACCATGGGAGCAGCAATTTCTAATCATTACCAGGATTTTGTTTATGCTGTTATAAAATAAAAAAAATGTCCTGTAAATTGGTGCGATATAAATAATGAAATATAAATGAATGTCAAGACATAAACTTAAACAAATTGTTAAGCTCATTTATTATTGGATGGGAAAAATTTTTTGTATATTGTCATCAATATGCTTTTATGAGTGTAAAAATTCCACTCCTTGGTGTCATGATTGACAATTTTCTTTTAAACACAAACTGTGCCTCTATAGTGGAAGTCTCTCACACATTGACTAAAAAGTCCAGTTTTGGAACCAATGAAAGGAAGGGAGCTTCTGAACCATCTTCACCCTGTAGACTCAGGGAAGAACCCAACATTGCAGGGTGAGTGAATGCTTTCATCAAATGTTTGTAAATGTTTTATAGATCAGTCGTTATGTTAGCTACAGTGAAGAATTTGCATTGTTGTTTGTCTCTTGTGTTTTTGTATGGGCTCTATAATGGTATAGTTTTGTATCCAGGCCGCTTGTCTTTCTCTGACTGCTGGAATACCTCTACTGTACAAGAAATTATTTGATGTTGGTATTTATATGTAACATTGTTCTCACAAAATGTAAGGATAAAGAAGAAAGTGGTAAAAAAAAAATTAGTAAAAATATTCAATAATAATAGTTTCAGAGAATTATGAAAATAAAGATTGCCCTGAGCAAAGGTTAGTCCAGCTCAACTATCAATACACTTTATCAATACACTTTCATTTTTATTATGGGAAACTTTTCTTCAACAAAGGGTAAAAGAAACACAATCTTTTCAGCATTAGAAAAAAATTATTACTTAGTGACCCAGAAGGATATCTGTGCATTTATTTCTGCATCAAAAAGTATTTAGATTTATTGATTTCAATTTATTATAATGGAACCGAGACCAAAGCTGGTGAAAGGTATTTAAAACAAAACAAACCCATTTTTGAAAAGAAGATAAATGGCATGTTTTTCTGAAGTCATACTTATCAGACTATAAACACCATTGCTTGCCACATAAACACAGCATGACCTTTTTTTGAGTGATCTTAATTGCTGAGGGATAAGTTCAGTTAGTGAAGGGCATAAGACCCCCATATTTCTTTGTAATCCTCTAATAACTCTCACATGATGTTGTTTTCCACTGATGGGTGAAAAATCTTAGGTTCCTTTTAAACATGAAGAATCTCCTGTTAAACCTATACTAGCTGCATAAATGGGGGGAGGGAAGAAGAAATGATGAAGGACCAGACTGTTCATAGGAGTTCTAATGTAATAAGATGAGAGATGAATTGGGAAAGGGAAGACTATTAACACTGATGAGATAAAAAAAAGTTCATGCAGAAGTTTAATAATAGACAAATAATGAGAATGGAAAAAGAGCCCCCACCAGTGATCACAACAACGATATCTGCGATGATTTTCAGTCATCAAGGTCATGGTCATCCTTGAAAACATCAGTTTAGGCAACTGGACGTGAATTTTAAACCTGCACCATATCCCTGTGCACTTTAAACCCGGCAACACCATGGAACAAAGACATAACACCCCCGAAACAGGGCCGAAAACATGCTTTAGGCCATGCAGTGTATTGAAGAGTGCACAGACCTGTACACTGGAGAGACCAATCAACTGCTACACAGTCGCATTGCTCAACACAGGACGTTCAACTCCTCAGGACAGGACTCAGCTGTTCACCTACATCTGATGCCTAAAAGACACTTGTTTGAGGACAACGATGTCCATACTCTGGTCAAGGTAGAAATATGTTTTGAGCGAGGGATTAAGGAAGCCATATTTGTTAACCTGGAAAAACCATCTCTCAACAGAGGAGGTGGTCTTAGGCCCCGTCCACACGAAGTCAAACCCTGGCCTAAACGCACAAATTTTTCACCAAACCAGCCTCTCATCCATACGAAGCCGGCGTTTCGGGGGTCTGTAAACTTTTTATTTTTTTATATTAAGCCTTAAGAGTGGG